TGCAGACTGGGTCACAGACCCCTCATATGCAGGTCATGAGCTAGGTAGTTGGAAAAAGATCGTTGGAGCCGTTGGCAAGGTTGACATGCTTTATTCGGACATGAGCTCAGCCCCCTGCTGATCAGAGCCATTGTCTTTTATACTAGAGTCAGATAGCCAAGGAATACCTGGGCACACATGCACAGTTAACGTATTTACATCAGACAGGCTGAGCCATGCTCAGCCGGACATAAGGTGAGGGAGCCTGACCAGCCTGTCTCCACTTCCCTCACACATATCTAGGGGGATGTTACTGGCATCTAATGTATAGAGATCCACTTCTATCCACTGATATTAATGAGAATGTCAATAAAAAGTAAACTGTTCAACAGGGGTTTGAAGAATACATTACAGATCACTGCATTAAACATTAGGCCACAGAGGAAGATTTAGATTTAGCCCAAAGAATATTTTCCTAACAGTGAGCATATTTGATATTAAAATGGATTGTTACTGAGAGAACTCTGGTTCTTCAGCCTGATTGCACAGTGAAGTCACCTGGGAAACTTTAGACACTCCCAGTGCCCAACTTCACACTAAATTTGCTCTTATTTAATTAGTCCAGAATGGGACCCAGACAGGAGCACTGTTGTGAAAGCTCCCAGATCACTGTAATGAGAACTGAAGTCAACAACCAGTGGCCCAAAGCAAATCAGAATCCCAAGAACCTGAGCTTGAACAAAAGAAAGTTTACTTTTAACTAGAGGGTGCTTGACACTGCAGGAGTTGTGCCCATCCCGCTGGCAGTGGCTCCACACTGGGCCTCTTCCTGCTGCTGCTGCCCAACTGCAAAAGGCCTGACAGTTGGTTCCTAAAGTGGAGCCAATAACAAGAATTCAGAACCCGATGCTATGATGGAGAGGTGACCCGGGGACCTTTGCTCTCTAACCCCAGGAGCCAAGAGCCCTTTGTTTAAGACAGTTTCATGGCTTAGGAGGAGATAAGGAGCCTTTTATGCACTGGTTGGCCTGAGCCTGGGACTCCTGAGCAGGAAGGAAAGGATGAAGATGGAAAATGACCAGACTCAGAGCCCCAAGGACGTCCAGGGTTAGCTCTTTCATTTCCACGCTGGCTTCTTTTACGGTGAACTAGGAGGCAAGGAGTAAAAATCCCAAAACAGCAGAGAACTTGTGGTGACAATACATCCTTTTTTCTTTTTAATCTTTTGCAGATATAATTCACAAATTTCTCTTTTGACAAATAAGCAGGCCACTTCCCTGGATACAAAGACTTTGGATTTCACATGGGCCTGTGGATTACCACAAAGAGCTGTATAATATTATTAGCCATTTAAAAGTCACCTGAAATCCGTTAGCAAATCGGGAAAAAGTCCCACAATTGGAAAGTCAAAGGGAGACAGCAGAGGGTGAGGGAAGTGGGGTCTGTACAGAAGAGGAGAGGAAGAGCACACTTCATCAGCATGGCAGGGGGCTTCTCCCCCATTCTACAGCTGAAGATGCTGAGATCCAGGGAGGTGGTGAAAGACAGAGTAAGCTCAGATGTGCAGAGCTAAGAATAAAAGCCAAGTTACCTCACTCCAAGGTTCTTCAGAGGCTTGAAATAAAAGCCAGGTCAGCAGAGGCACCAGGCAAAGTCTGTCACCTGGCTCAGGCTCGCAGGTGCACGTAGCTTGTCCTGAACAGACGGACTGTCCCATTGTCGGGGCTGCTCGCTGTTCCTAACAAAGCCGGGCCTAGCTGTGGGTTCATGTGGACTCTAGTGACCATGCGTGGAGTCAAGGGCCCAGCAGTCAGAGGGTGATGTCTGGGATGGATGTGAAGAGAGGCTAAGCAGAAAGCAGTCAGGAGAGAGGAAGGACCCAGGAGCTGCCAATGATATCCTAGCACATCGTGATGAGCTGACTTCAGTGTCTCATGCAGGCTACTGTACATAGAAATAGTCTCACTTTAATAAAAGCAATTACGGTTTTTTATTATCAAAATACTATGTGCTCGTTGCAGAAAGAGTGGGAAATACACAAAGAGGAAATGGAGGAAAACATAGTCTTACCTGGTAAAACAACTGCTATTGAAATTTCTTGTAATT